GCAAAGATGCCCAAGTGCTGATTGATGGTGAGAGGAAAGGGGGACCACCAGCCCCTTGGGCAACATAGACACGGCGAGGCACACAGATGACTTCTCTAAATTTTTAATAACTTCCCTGAAAGCCCTTTTTTGTCCCCCTGCAATAAGCCACCCCTCCCCATCGGCCCTGGCACCTGGTGAGCCCCAGAAAGTCCAGAACAACAAATGTGTCTCTACAAAGGGACGCCCACCTCCTCCTGCAGGGGTCTCCCGCCCCCTGCACGCCCCTCACACCCACAGATCTTTTCTTCTTCACCCCCACACCCACCTCTCCCTCCAGCATCTCAATGGACGTTCTAACACCCCACTGCCCTGCCTCTGGCACCCCCTGGACCAGAACCCACGCAGCGCCGGGGTGGGGCCCGGTGGAGGCTGCCATCCGTCAGCATCCGAGTGGCTGCCCACCGGTCCTGGGCTGCTAATCAAACCCAGTCCAGAAAAGTGACTCCAGCTCCCTTCTCGTTCTGGTATGAAATGCACAGTGCACAGACCCTATCAGTAACATAAAACTTCCAGAAATAAGGCCACTTTCCAGACAGACTGTATTAATTGTACCACGTCCCGCAGCGAGGGTGGTCTAATCCACGACATCCCATTGAACCACTCCAGTTATAAAAGCAGCGCCAAATGAACACTGTGATATAATTGAAGAAGGAGAAGAATGGCAGATTCCACTGTTAAACCCTACTATTTACTTACAGGTAATTCTTTTATCTTTATTGTCCCTTCAACCCATGCCAAGAAGCCCCAGACTAGTTAAATAACACAGCAAGCACAATTTCAGTAGAAAAGTAAATTGAATTTAACTTTACAAGATTGCCCTGTGCTTTCAGCATATACTAATGACTGCTACTGACTCTCTCTATTAAATCCAAACACTTCCACTTCCCCGAGCTGGGATCCTGTGTGTTCTTGCGTGAGACCTTGAACTTCACCAAGCACATGTATTAATCACTCTGGCTGATGAACATTTGCAGCTTTTAAATATGCAATGAAGTGGCTCAGTTCCTTTTCCACCTCTAATGTTGGTACAGGAGCTAAGCCAGCCAAGAGGGCAAATGCCTTCAAGCATGGAAACCAGGGATGCGGCTTGAAGGAAGATGCTACATGGTGCCAGGCAAGTCACACTGTCTTCTTGTGAAACTCATTCTCCTCATGCATGAATCATAACCTCTGCGGAGCTCACTCGGGACAGGACAGTGTTCCCAGCACCTGGCTTATATGACTTCATGCAAAATCCGCAGGAACAACCTTCATGGCCTTCCGCTCATTTTCCAGATCGGTAAACTGAGGGACGAGGGACCAAGAAGGGAACAAAAGGTCTTCTGAATCCACACTGCCTCCTGCTTTACTCGCTAGCGGCAGATCGCAGAAGCCTCAGGACAGAAGAGTGCTGGAGGCAGTGATTTTTAGCTGTCTCCTGAGCTCCCCGGGGAGCTCTGGCTAGAGTTCCCTGCCCAGGAATATCCACAGGGGACTCACATTGGTCTGTTTTAGGCATCGGTATGTGAGGTGCCTTGTTGCTTTTAACTGTTACATGCATATGCATAATACAAATCCTTTCCAAACAAAAAAGAAGTGGAGACTCCAAGGGAAATGACGTATTCCAGGCCACTGGCCAGGTAGACTCACAGGCCAGGACCACAGGCTGAGACTTTTCTACCACCACTTGGCAAATCCTCTAAGTGGAACTTCTCAGGGAAGACCTTTTGGTACCCAGAAGCATCCTGATTCAAAGCCCCACGGGATTTAAATCCAGTTCAAAGCAAATGGGTGCTGTGTCCCCTTCCCACTGTGAGCATCAGAGGGGGGCCTGGAGTGGGTCCAGGCATACCTGTACAGTTTTCTTGCCCATAAAATCATACCTTCCTAATAACCCAGAATGCCTTTGTGAGTGTGCAATTAACATGTGTGAAGCACGCTTGCTCCAGATATTTCCCTATTCCCGTGAAGCCATAGGTTCAAGGTATTCTTATCAGAAAAAGGGACAAAGCAAAGTATGGATGGCAGTCCTGCTTTATGGTGGACCGCTTCCTCCTAATGGGTTGCTGGGGACTTAATGAGTCCATTCCAGCTACTAATTAAACAGGCACTAAAAACACTTAAGCAAACAGTCCGGTGTCAGGGACAGAAACCACAAAGGGACAAAAATAAAAACAAACCACTGGAATAGGAGACTTTCAGGTACTGAAAGGGATCAGAGAAGAGGGTGATGCTAACGAATTAACAGAGTCGAACAACAAGCAAGAGCTGTGAGGTCTGGGTGTGGGTGGGGCCCAGGGCGGAAGTTACAGCCAGTCTCTCAGGAAGGGCTCCTGGAACAGATATGGTGGTTCCTCACCGCCTCCCCCTACACAGAGATTGGGGGAGTAGTGGGGGAGGCTGTACATGGATCTGTACCTTTGAGGGGCTCTTCATCCATAGCAAAAACCAAAAGCAAAGCCAGTGCTGTGGGAGAGCCCCTGCTCCCCTGCTTTCTCTCTAGGCGGCCTTTGCACCCCCACCTCCAATCACCCTGACCCAAGGCTCCCAAGTCTCCTCCCTGCCAGACTGGCAGCTGCTGGGTGGGAGGGGGGTGCAGGGACCCACATGCCACCCTTTGGCTGATCCACAAGGTGCAAGAACGGTTCTGAGCTGTGAGGCCTGTGTCTCTGAGGCACGTATGCAAGGCAGGTGGAGTGACAATTACAGACAAGAATGCAGCCCAACACCCAGTACCAGGCAGGGCACGATCACCCCTCGACACTCAGTCATGGTAAGGGCCTGGGTAGTGTGGGGACAGACTGACGGCTGCCATCCTGGGAAGCCGTTTGTCCTCTCCTCCGCTCAATGGGCAGCGCAGTGACCTTTCCAGAAGCTTGCCCAGCACAGACCCCTGGACTTCAACCTCGGCCCAGCCGTCACCCTCCCTGAGCCTCTCCCCGCCACCACCACCCCTTGTTTGCAAAATGAGGACAGAAATGGCTCCTGCCTGGTGCTACACAAAGATGTCGGGCGAGTCTAGCCACGTTGGGAAGGCACTCTGGTCCCTCTCCTCTAACTCTGACAGCCTCTCAGGAGAGCCAGAACCAACAGAGGGTTAAGTAAAACCCTGGTGGTACGCCTCTGGCGAAGAGATCATGTTTCCACACGCAGAACTTGACCGAGTCCAGTCGTAAACACTCGGCTGATCTTTGATAGCATGGCCCCCCGAGTGGCTGCAGGGCTGGAGCACTAATTACAGGAAGCCAGGAGAACAGGGCAGCCTGGAGACGAGCAGGCCCACCACACTCATCAAGCGGGGTCTTCTGCAAACCCCCAGAACAGATCTACCAGGCCGGGATGCAGGGATGCGCGTTAGCACGGATCATGCTGCGGGCCAGGCGGCCTAGACTTTTGGGAAGCTGTTCTAACTCCTTCCGGGTGATCTGGGTTTTGCTTTATGCCTTTCAGAGACCCAGGAAGAAACCAGAGCTCCGCCCTGAAGTCAGATTCTGTGATGTCACCATCTGTCACAGCAGCCAGAGATACCGACTGCTACAGGCCACCCCAGCAGCTGAACGCTACAAGCAGCAGAGGCTACTTGTGGACTTTTACAGACCCCAGGCCCCAACTGTGACTTTCCCTTGAGACAGCATCAGTGAAAGGCAAAATTTGCCCAATAAATAGTTTTCCCTTCACAAATCAAGACAAAGCCTGCAACACGCCTGGTGAACTGAATCTGCCCCGGCTCTGCAGCCACCCTCTCTCTCTCCCTCTCTCTCTCTCTCTCTCTCTCTCTCTCTCTCTCTCTCTCCTTCCCTGGCCCCTGCCACAGAAACCAGGCCACAGCTGCCTGCCACGTGAGTCTGTGTCAGCATCCTGGCTCCAGCGACCACAGCGCTTGTACACACCAGGCCCTGCCAGAAGGCTGCAAGGGGGCCTTCTGTCCATAAACTCCCAGACACGCCAGGCCATGGCACTTTGGTTTTATCAGGGGAACACAGGTAGGTGGTGAGGGATGTGTGTGTGTGTCGCTGCCCAACCCTCCCAGCTCTTCAGTAAAATGGGCAAACTCCCAGCCACCTCAGGAGTGCAAGGCACAGGTGTGCAGGTCTGGGGTCTGCCCGCAGCTGGGCACACACAGTGGTGCTGCCCCCCCCCACCACACACACACAGTGCTTCATTTCCACCTCATAGACAGAGCTCCTTTTTCTTTCTTTCTTTTCTAGTCATGTGTGTGTGTGTGTGTGTGTGTGTGTGTGTGTGTGTGTGCGTGTGTGTGTGTGTATACTTGGGCTTGAACTCAGAGCCTGGGCACTTCAGGGCCTGGGCACTGTCCCTTAGCTTTTTCACTCAAGGCTGGTACTCTACCATTTGAGCCACGGCTCCATTTCTGGTGTTTTGATGGTTCATGAAAGATCAAAAGTCTCATGGACTTTCCTGCCTGGGCTGGATTTGAACCGCAATCCTCAGCTCTCAGCCTCCTGAGTAGCTAGGATTACAGGAGTGAGCCACTGGCGCCTGGCAACCACTAAGTCTTGAAAAGACTCCTTTGGAGCAACGTATTTTTTCCCCCTCCAAGTTAATGGGCACCACATTGTCCTAAAGAGAAACTCAGCGTTTTGGATGGCTCCAGCGATGTACACAGACAACCGAGGAACGCTTGCTAACCTTGTCTGGGGTGGCGGGCAGAGGAAAGGGCAGGGAAAAAGCCTCACATGTTAAGCGTTATCCAATTAAGCTTTAGCTAAACAGCCCAAAGAGATGAAATTTGAAGGATGGGCAGTGCATTCTGGGAGTGTGCCTCTCAGGACGGGTGGAGGCACTGGTTTTTACAGTTCAGTTGACATCCTTCACCACTTCCCCCAACACCCTCAAAAAACACATTTGGGGTGAGGGTGGCGCTTCTTCCCTGGGTCCCCATCCTGGGCCCCCAGCTCTGGCCCAGGACACACCCCACCATCCCGGGACCCCACCCCCCACCGCCGCGGCTGCGTTACCTGACAACTGACACTGGCATCCAAAGGGACCCTCCGTCTGACCCTCACCCTGAGTCCCGTCGCCCGACAGGGGGCGCGCGCTGCAGCAGGGCAGCGGGAAGCAGGGCGGGAGAGCGCCCAGGGCACGCAGAGGTGAAGTAATCACAGATGTGTGAGGGTGGGAGGAGGAGGCAGCTATGGGGGCCATCGCTGGCAGCTGGGCAGGCCTGCACGGCCCTGGAGAAAAAACAATAGAAAAGACTGGTCAGTCGGGCCCTGGACCGCACAAGGGGCTTGGGGGGATGGGAGGGGCCCGGGGCACAGGGCTTTGGGCCAGCTTTGAAGGGTAAGAGGCCCAAGGGGGTGCTGGCCCTGCAGGCATGGCCACCCAAACATGGGCAGGAGAAGAGGGGTCAGGTCATGGACGTGAGCAGCTGCCAGGAGGGGTGGTTGTAGGGCAGGGACTCCGGCGGGGGGCGGAAGGGTCCTCGTACAGGGGGTGGGGTCACAGAGGGACTATCAGGGTCCCACTCCCAGGAAAAATTCCTCCCATGAGAACTCTTCTGGAGTGAACTGGAACAGGCTCCAACTGATCATCTGTTCCCACAAATTCTGGAAGAGCTGAGAAGCTGGGAACCAAAGCCCCTTGCACTATCAGAATGGCTCTTTGGATAGACCTGAGCCACCAAAGCCACCGCCATGGGTCTGGTTATCCTCCTGCTCAGCTGATCAGCCAAGGCCTCTCTCCAGCCCTCCCCACCCCGCCCCACCCCTGCTAGCAAGCAGCAACCCAGCCCCCAGCAGTGTTCAAAAAGGCTTTGAATCTCTCCTCCACCCCGCCCCACCAAGAAAACCTGGCACTGCCCTGACCCCTCTCAATGGCTGGGTCCTAGCTTGGAAGTACCCTCCTCCTAACAAGGACGGAAAAGATCAGGGCTTTAGCCAGGCTGCCTCTCTTCTACCCAGCCCTGCAGTTTGTCTCGGCTGCCAGCAAGGCAGAGCAAGGCAAGGCCTGCATTTGATTTGGCCGTTTATCTTACATGGCTAAGAGACCACCAGGGCAAAACATTTGTGTGAAGCGCTTGCCAAAACCACAAGTGGAGAAGCCCAAATTCCCTGGGTAAATAACTGAGCAAAGAAGCAGCAGAGAGACAGAAAGAAAACATCAACAAGATGACGGGCAGTTAAGCCGCACTGGCTCTGCCAGGGAGGCCGCCGGCCTCACCTCCTGGTCCAGTCTGCACAGGTGAAAATCTGCCCAGGCCATGGCCACCACACAGGATGCCCCCTCCCAGGTGAGCCACAGGGCTCTGCAAATGCACTGAGAACCAGGAGCCTGGCAAATCTTCTGCATCCAGTCTTCCTAGCCCTGAGCAAACAGAACCTAGAAAATCCATTATATGGGTCAGAAAACAGAGGCTGAAACTGGAGAAAGCCACAGCCCCATGAAAACCTCACTGCCTAACTCCCAACTTGGAGCCACCATCTCCCACCCCACCCCACCCCGCCCAATTACTCCTGCTTCTCTAAAACACAAACCCAGAATCAAGGGCATCGAGGCATTTGAGAAGACCCCTAAACTCCAAGCTTGGGGACTGCCAATGTCCTTCCAAGAGACAGAGCTAGAACCAGCCTTCCCAGAGCCCTGCTGGGCCACCGAAGCCTCTTATACTAGGCTAGCTTAGGGACTCGGATATGTCTGAGCTGGCACGGCCCAATGTGGCTGAGGAACCCCTGAGCAGTTCCAACCCCAGAGACTGAGTGGGAAGTCAGGCCCCAGGTTTAGTGTGAGCCCCAAGGAAGGGCAGGCCCCTGTCCCCAGCCTCCTCTGGAAAGCTTGCCTGAAAGGCCGCTAGCACCTGACCCCATGCTCTTGACCTGGTCCACTACTGCCTTTGAGTCCGGGGGACCCCACTGAGGCCCGAGGCCATCATCAGCCATTGGTGCTGATTATACCACAGCCACCTTGCTCGGAGGAAGAACCACCTTTACTCTACAGGGGAACAGTGGCTCAGAGAGCTGTGGGATACAAACCCAGTTGTTCCTCCCTCCACGGCTCCAGATGGAGGGAGGGAGTGACCAAGAAACCCAAGGAGCCTATGATCCAGAGCCATGTGGAGACCTGGACATACTCCACCTCAGCCTGCTCACAGGTCGCTGCAAAAGGCCAACCTTTGACTCCAATTCTGGCTCCATTTCTAGGGGAAGTCACAGCCCTGCCAGCACTACCCATCACAGCTGAGAAGTCAATTGGAGCCCTAAGTGGTCTTGTGACAGTCAGCCCAAGCAAGAGGACAAAGGGGCAGGAAGGGAGGGATCCTCCAACCCCTGGCCAACAGAGCCAGGTCAGCGTCTGAGGCCAGGGTCAGCCAAGGAGATCACGCTCCAGGCAGTGATGCTAGCAGGAACAAGCAGGCCTCTTTATGAAGTCTGGCCTCACTGAAGTCAACCTGTTTCAGGGGCAGTAGAGGGGGTACGGGGTCTGGACCCTCTCTGGGACTCTCAGAGCACCTTGCGCCCTGCAGAAGGTTCCCTAAGAAACAGCTCAAACCAAAACTGTGCCCACAGCGAGACCACAAGAAATCCATGCACTGAAAAGCCACGAGCAAGGAAGAAGGAAGGCAGCATCCCTTGTTTGCTTCCCCGGGTGGGATCCTGAGCCGTGGCTTGCAGGGTTAGGAGGCAGCTGGAAAGTGAGAACTATGGAGCACGAGGTATTTTTAGGAGGAATTAGATCATCTGGAATTAGACAGTAGTGACAAAGCCTAGTGAATGCACTCAAAACCACTGTTGGTGCTAAACGGATTTTACATATGTGAATCTTAATTACAAAAAAAAAAAGTCAGTCTGGCATAGTGGCTCACGTCTGTAATCCCAGCTATTTGCTTAAGCAAAAGTTAGTGAGCCCCCCCCCACGCACACACACAAACAACCTCAATCGATACATCATGCATGGTGGTTCATTCACAATATGGGATCAGTTGCAAAGGAGAAAAGACATAGGTAGAAGGATCCTGGTCCAAGGCCAGTCCCAGGCAAACCTCAAGACACTATCCAAAAAGTAACTCAAGTAGAAAAAGAGCCAGGGAGCTGTGAGCATGACTCACAGCTATCTATTATTAAGTGTGAGGCCCTGAGTTCAAACCTCATTACTCAATTAAAAATATATATATATATATATATATATTGGAGAGTCCACATACCAGCTTTGTCTTTCTACAAAGATGGGGGTGTCTGCCTGCCTTTAAAAGTTCAGGCAGGGGCTGGGAAGGTGGCTCAGTGGTAGAGCTCTTGCCTTGCATGCTCGAGGCCCTGGGTTCGATTCCTCCAAAAAGAAAAAAGCCGGAAGTGGCGCTGTGGCTCAAGTGGTAGAGCTCTAGCCTTGAGCTGAAGAGCTGAGGGACAGTGCCCAGGCCCAGAGTTCAGGCCCCACGACCGGACCCAAAAAAAAAAAAAGTTCAGGCAGAAGCTGGGCAGGTGGCTCACACCTGTAATCCTAGCTACTCAGGAGGCTGAGATCTGAGGACCTCAGTTCAAAGCCAGCTAGGGCAGGAAAGTCCATGAGACTCTTATCTCCAATGAACCACCAGAAAACCAGATGTGGTGCTGTGACTCAAGTGGTAGAGCGCTCACCTCGAGCTGAAGAGCTGAGGGGCAGCACCCAGGCCGAGTTCAAGCCCCATAACTGACAAAAAAAAAGAAAGAGTTCATCCAGAAAGCACTTGTGATCATCTGTGATCCAGGACAGACAGGACACCAACAGTGCTCAGAGAGAGGGTACAGCTGGAGGGTATGGGAGGTGCTGGGTTCAGATTCCTCCCCTACCATTTCCTGACAACGCATCCCAAGGTGGACCCTTTCTCCGAGCCTCAGTTCCCTCCTTTGTAAAAGGGAAGGTCAGTGGACTTGATCACAATCCTTCACTTACTTTCAATTCTGTGTTCTTCCTGCTCTCTGTGAGCACTCTGCACAGCACTGTCCTCAGCTTGACAGAGTACAAACGCTTCCTGGGCTCCTGGGTGGGGGTACTGGGCTACCACATGCAAGGCCATGGGCTCCACAGCACGATTTCATTTTTAAATACTTTCTTTGGAGGCCTGTGTTAGTCCAAACAGACCCATGTGTATGGAGACGTGTGGCAGGGGAAAGCTAAATAACCAACTCAGCTTTATGGGAGATTAGGTGACTCATATCATTTAAAGTAGGCAAAAATACATAAGCAACTAATACCTGTATTATCTCACGTTAAGCCCAGAGCCTTCCTATGGGGTAGGTGTCATGTTCCCACTCTGACAAGTGAGGAAACCAAGGCTTACAATGACTAAAGAAGGTACCCTGGCCCAGTGGGTCAGACTCTGCCTTCTTGCTCTCAGCTCCCCCCAAAAAGTCTCCAGATCAGATCAGACCCCTGAAATGTGTTTAAAGGTCAGAACAAGAGACATGATCACTGTTCATAGCTCCTGGGTGCGGAGCCTCCAGAAGGAGGCCTGAAGACCCCTTCCCTTCAGCGAGGCCTGAAAGACGCTCAGCTCCAGCCTGACACATGCGCACTAGCCAGGGACACGCCCACCACCAGGAGCCTACACACACACACACACACACACACACACACACACACACACACACGTACGCATACTCCCCTGCACCGCCTGCCTTCTGCAGGCTCGGGGCTGCCCCTCCCAAATGGGGGGAATTGCAGACCGCGTTGTTCCCAGCTACAGAGGTGGCCAGGAATACACTGTGCTGTGCCGAGAGGTCTATTTTTCTCCCCACTGGTGTCTTTCAACGGATGCATTTTTTTTTAAGGCGAGAACTCCTACTGATAGTGCAGAAATGAGTCACAGATCAAGGAAGGAGACAGACAGGGAGCCTGCGTCTGCGAGCGAGGGACACTGGCAAGGGGACCTGACAGTCCCCGCGCCCCCTCCCCCCCATGCCAAGACATTAATTCTCACAAGTCGGAGAAAATTACTATGCATGAATGCAAAAAGCATGATCAGGAGTAATTAACATGGCTTCATATGCAAATTTTATTAATGCAGAAGTACAAAGTCATTATGCAAATGAAACTTACGTCAACTCTCTTGACAAATATTCATCTCAGAGGCTCAAGTTTCTCCCTTTTTATTTATTTAATTTTTTTTCTCTCCCTCTCCTTCTCTCTCTTCCTTCCCCTCTCTTTCTTTTTTAGAGGAAGAGGGTTTGAGGCACGCAGTCTGGGTGCTGGTGGCCACTAA